ACTCGTCCGCCTCCTCCTACCGGTTCTCAGGTGGGACCCCACCCCACAGCGCCTCGGCCGCTGCCGCTCGCGGGGAGGACGGGTCGTGAGGGCGTGGGCAAGAGGGAGGGAAGCCCGGGCCAGCTGCTCCTGTCCCCTTCTCCATTCAGACGTGGATTCGGCGTCTTCGCGCTCAGACATGTATGATTTGCCCAAGAAGGAGGACGCCCTACTTTACCAGAGCAAGGGTAAGCGCGGGCCAGGCCGCTCAGTCCCATCCGAAACCCCTGCAGGGGGAGCCAGGATACCCCACTCCTTACCAGTCCCAGAAGGCGTTTCCATTGGGGCCACTGGACCAGGTGGGGGACACCACTGTCTTTTAACCTTGTCCCCGCCAAAGGCTACAACGACGATTACTATGAGGAGAGTTATCTGACCACCAGGACTTATGGGGAGCCTGAGGCCAAGGGCTTCCGCCAGCCGGCAAGGTCCCTCTCGGACCCTGACACCTTCCATCACCAGGTTAGTGAGCCATCAGTCACAGCTGGGTGGGATAATTGGGCAGCTACTGAGAGCGAATGGTGGCTCCTAAGCCTTCAGAGAAGGTCAGGATGTAGCTTTTTGGCCGAGGCCTGTCTTGGGGGCCCATCAAAGCTGTTTGATTAGGGCCTAAGTGTGTACCTCAGTGGTAGAGCACTTGCCTAGGTGCTGGTGCCTTAGTATCCCAAAATATTAAAAATTTGGAGAGAAAGGGCCGGGGATTTAGCTCAGTGATTCTGCTGTTTGCCTCACAAGTGCAAGGTCCAGAGTTTGATCCTTGGTACCAAAAAAAAAAAAAAAAATGTGATGAGAAGTCAAGTCATGTGGGAGACTGAGACAGGAGGATCCTTGAGAGTTCCAGGCCAGCCTGGGCTACATAGGGAGGCCCTGTCTAAATAAAACAAAACACAATACCCAAAAATGTGTAATAAAAGTAATGAGGGTACATGGGGTATGGCCTCGGATCTGGGCTCATGTTCTGCTGGGGGAGGAGAGTGTTGGGTACAGGAAACTGGGACAGTCTTCCCAAAGACAAGAGGCCAGGAGCCTGGTATGGTTCCGGAGGGAGCAGGTGTTGATCTTTTGAGCAGGGTCAGTGCAGGCTGGCCAGGACATTTGGTCTGAGGTGGGGCAGGATCCTTCCTGCTGGCTCCTGAGCAGCTCTCTTGCAGGTGCGTGAGGACAGCATCTTCTCGGAAGAGTTCGGCAAGGACAGGTGAGCAGGGCACGGGCCCGGGTTGGGGGCAGGCCCACACTCAGTCCTCCTGGCCTACCTGCTCCCTTCTTTTGCTGTAGGGAGCGCCTTGCCTATGGCCGGGACAGTGCCTACCAGAGCATTGCGCACTACCGCCCTGCCTCCAGCATCTCCAGGGGCTCCCTGGGCCTCTCCTACTACCCTGCATCACCCACCTCTTCTGGGTCCTCGACCTCATCCTCTCCGTCTTCGTGGCTCACCCGCCGGGCCATCCGGCCTGAAAAGCGGGCCTCTGCAGCTGTGGAGGTGGCCCAGGAGCGCCGGGTCCCACTCTGGGGCCAGCTGCTACTCTTCCTGGTGTTTGCTGCCTTCCTGCTCTTCGTTTACTACTCCATGCAGGCTGAGGAAGGCAACCCCTTCTGGATGGACCCCTGAGGGTACTGCATGGAGCCTGGCTAGCTGCCTTAGCAGTGTTCTGGGGTGGGGGGGTGTTGTTGTGTGTTCTAGCTTGGGGTGTCAGGCTTGCTCAGGGCAGTACCTGGCTCTGCCCTCCTCGGGAGCTTTCTGGCCCTACTTTCCTCTGAGCCTTGGAACTGGGCCGAGACCTTGTCCTTCCGAGGGAAACATGATTATTGTCCTGCATGCCACCTCTTGTTCATTGTCACCTGTTGCGAGATCAAGCAAAGGCCACCGACACTGTTCATGGACACACAATGAAAGACCATTTATTTTTACCATGGCGGCACAGGTCCCTGGGTCCTGTGTGGCTCCTGCCTGGTTGGGTCTGCATTTTGCCTTGGTCTTGGGAGAGGGAGGAAATGCTACCCATAGATATGTTCCTGTTTCATTTGTAGGTTTTATTTCCTGACTCATTCCCAAGAGCACTTGTGACTACTTACAGATGTGACTACCATATGACAAAGTGTGTGGACAGCCAGTTTGGGGACACAGGTAAAGCTGTGTGGATAGTACTCATTGTAGGTATCTTTACACATTGGAAGGCACAGGGATGGAAAAGAAATGACATGCTAGGTGCTGGGTTATGGTCCTGTAATACCAGCACTTCTGGAGGCTGAGGCAGGAAGTCTGCATGTTGAAGACCAACCTGGGCAACTTACCCACTTAGTTAAGACCCTGTCTTAAAATTAAGAACTGTGGGCCAGGTGTGGTAGTCCATGCCTATACTCCCAGCCCTTGGGAGGCTGAGGCAGGAGGTTTACTGCGTATGCGAGGCCAGCCTAGGCTTTATAATGAGTTCATGGTCAGTTTGGACAACATAGTGCGACTCTTGTCTCAAAAAACAAAACAAAAACCCAACAAAAATACCGTGGGATCCTGGTCCTCACTTATTCCTCAGCCCCACGGTGGCAGGTACACATGCTTGGGTAGGTGGGAAGCAGAGCCATAGCCAGAGATCAGGCCTTGGCTTCAGTTTTCTGGCCTGGTGACCTGGCCCTTGCTGCAGGTGGCCACACTCAGCCTAGTCATGTGCACTATCCACGCAAACCCTGTGCTCCCGAGTGATCAGGGCTCTTCCCTGTCTTAGCCACCCAGTCTGGCAGGACAGGGACCCTCCTTATCTGCATTCTCCCCAGTGTTTCTGATCCAGAACTAATAGGTGGTTTGTGTGCATTTAAAACACACAGAAAAGGGACTACTGTGAGGTGTAGTTCAGTCCTCACTTCACTGCCTAGCACCCAAAGTAAGAATCAGATAGGAATAAACCACTTCTTTCCTGAGTGCTCGTGTGGCCTCAGCCTCCCTAACAGGCTCCCTCCCACTTGGGCCATCTTCCCATCCCCAGCAGCTGCTGTGTGGACCCCAGGCCACGGGCCACATAAGGGTCTGAGGGCTGGCACTGCCACAAGACCAAGGCCCCTGTGGTCCTCTGGGAGAACTGGGCATGTGTGGGCAAGAGGTACTGCCTCCTTAGTGCTGCAATTAATTACCTGGTGGTCACACCAGTGCACCTGTGCGTGGGAGCAAGAACAAGCAGTGAGGTCCTCACCATGATTAGGGGCAGTGACACAGCCTCCTGCTCAAAAAGTAGGAGTGCTGACAGGAAGGACTGAGTCATCGCTCTGGGTTGCTGGGAAACAGGACCCATGGGGACCAGCAGAGAGGCAAGGGCTCTGTTAGAAGCCGTTTGCTTGGGGTGATGGCCATGCCAAGGATGGGTACAGGCACACTGAGGCTTCAGGACAGAAGGACACCGGGTCTCAGGCCCTGGATCTGCTACCCGAGGGGAGGGCACAGCAGGTAGCTGGGTGTATATGCCGGCCAATGCTGGTATCTGATAGGAAAAAGAAGCCATCCAAGGGTTATAGTGTCCCCCTTTCTCATCTGTTCACTGTGCAAAGGACTCCAGGTCTCTTCCTGGACACAGAGATGGTTGAGGCTGTAGTAGGCGGCACCACGCCCACCTACCTGAACACTCAGACCAAGGCTTCCATTGCCCCCAGTACCCAGGGACCCGAAGGTGCCAAAATCCATGTTCTACCAAGTCCCTAACATTCCAAATGCTCAATCATAGGGACCTTGAGGGGAAAGGAGAGGCCACTGAGGCTTCTGCAGTCAACATGGGGCTCCTGGGGCACTAGGACCCCCAGTGGTACCTACTATCTATCCTTTAGGAGCAAGTTGTCCTACCCAGGTCTCAGACAATGACAGGGCACTTTCCACACTCCTTCAGTTCTCATCCTCCATTCCCAAGGGCAACATGGTGGCAGGAGGCCACCACCTTCACCTGCTGGGTGCTAGACTGGGTGCCACTGAGCCAGGGAGGAACCCTAACAGCCAACGGAGGGTGTTAGGACAGGACAGGACAGAAAGAACCTTTAGGGCTCCACCATCTTGCGCCAGTGACGCAGATCCAACTGCGCCCTCCTGGCAATGGGCTTTGAGGGATACTCAGCCCTGCGTGGCCTCTGCCGACAACC